TGCTAACTAGCGTTAGCAAAATGACTGGAAGTCTATCTACTAGAACACTGATGCCATGGTGGCATATCTATTGTATTTATTATGGATCGCGAGCCAATGCTAACTAGCGTTAGCGCAATGACTGGAAGTCTATCTACTAGAACACTGATGCCATGGTGGCATATCTATTGTATTTATTATGGATCCCCATTCCTGGGGTCCTGCAAAATTAAGGCAGTTATACATTTTTTAAAACATTGCAATACATTCATAACAGATTTCACAACATATTAAGTGTGTGCCCTCAGGCCTCTACTCTACTACCACATATCTATAACACAACATCCATGTGTACATGTGTGTATATTGCGTATTTTATCGTGTGTTTGAATGCATGTGTCTATGTTTGTGTTGCTTCACAGTCCCTGGTTTTCCATAAGGTGTATTTTTATCTGTTTTTTAAAATCAATCAATCAATTTACTGCTGTCATGAGTTACTTGATGTGGAATAGAGTTCCATGTAGTCATGGCTCTATGTAGTACTGTGCGCCTCCCATAGTCTGTTCTGGACTTGGGGACTGTGAAGAGACCTCTGGTGGCATGTCTTGTCGGGTATGCATGGGTGTCCGAGCTGTGTGCCAGTAGTTCAAACAGACAGCTCAGTGTTTTCAACATGTCAATACCTCTCACAAATACAAGTAGTGATGAAGTCAATCTCTCCTCCACTTTGAGCCAGGAGAGATCGACATGCATATTATTCATGTTAGCTAAACGTAGATTGCTTAAGGCTGACAAGATAAAGGTAAACTGTGCAGGCAAGGAGATTGAATCTAAAACAAGTGTAATTTATCTTGGTGTGCCCCTAGATCAATCCCTTTCTGGAGACCTGATTGCTGCTAAAATTCTTTCTAAAATGGCGAACAAATTGAAATCTTTATATCGTAACACTAGATATTTTAACATCAAAGTTAAGAAACTGCTTGTCTCAACCTTATTTTCAGTGTACAAAAGGCTGTGAAGTATTTGTAGTTAATCATATCAGTAATGTTAGTTCATTATATCAGAGGTGTAGCTCCGCCCACCGGTGAAGTGGAGCAGAGCATGCTGGGCGATCTCAAGCTCAGAGAAGATCAGCTGGAGAGAAGTCAAGTGACAGAAAGTTCCAGCCATCCTCGTGTTTTCCCAACAGGTAGCGTTCATTGTGTTAGCCAAGGGCAGTGTGCGTCCTGGTTGATATGTAAGTACGTATTTCATACCTTTCAGGTGTTTATGTCTGAAGATGTACTCTGACCATAAACGTCATATTTATGGTTATGCTAATTCGCGTTAGTAGTTTGTACTGCGAGCTAGCTATTGTGAGCTGGCTAGCTCTGGTTTTGGCTGTCATATCATTTCTGACATTTTAACCCTGTATTTGGAAAGGATAACGTTTCCCAGTACGTTGTTTATATGCCCTGTAATTGTGTAGGTGTATGGTGCATCATTATATGGGTATTACATTTTATTTCACTGTTTAGATCAAGAAAGCAACCCTGCCTAGTTCATTGTGCCGTTGTATCCCTGTAATGAAGATGATGGTGCTATGCTTTGTTTGTACACGTGCGACCGGCACCCCCTTTTGATCTCAAATTAGTACAGTCACGTTGTATTGTGCTGTGTGGTCCTGCCCATGCCCCGTGTAGCTCAGTTGGTAGAGCATGGCGTTTGCAACGCCAGGGTTGTGGGTTCGATTCCCACGGGGGGGCCAGTATGAAAATGTATGCACTTAACTGTAAGTCGCTCTGGATAAGAGCAAACCACCTCAACTGGAATCCTACCGGTCTGTCATCTGTGCCCTTACCAGCACACGGGAGAGAACACATCAAATATAACCTTACCTACAGGATATACAGTCCACCAAGGCCTCACTTCCATTCAGTGTCATGTTGTTTATGCCAGCTCTGCTTGGTGTAGTGGGCTATCAGAAAAGCTGAACAAGAGAATGCAGCTCATGCAACAAAATGTTATCAGGTACATGCTGAATGTCCCCCCCTAGGACCCATATAGGGGTACAGGAGTCCTGAATGTCCCCCCCCCCTAGGACCCATATAGGGGTACAGGAGTTCTGAATGTCCCCCCCCTAGGACCCATATAGGGGTACAGGAGTTCTGAATGTCCCCCCCTAGGACCCATATAGGGGTACAGGAGTTCTGAATGTCCCCCCCTAGGACCCATATAGGGGTACAGGAGTTCTGAATGTCCCCCCCCCCTAGGACCCATATAGGGGTACAGGAGTTCTGAATGTCCCCCCCCTAGGACCCATATAGGGGTACAGGAGTTCTGAATGTCCCCCCCCCTCTAGGACCCATATAGGGGTACAGGAGTCCTGAATGTCCCCCTAGGACCCATATAGGGGTACAGGAGTCCTGAATGTCCCCCCCCCCTAGGACCCATATAGGGGTACAGGAGTTCTGAATGTCCCCCCCCTAGGACCCATATAGGGGTACAGGAGTTCTGAATGTCCCCCCCCTAGGACCCATATAGGGGTACAGGAGTCCTGAATGTCCCCCCCCTCTAGGACCCATATAGGGGTACAGGAGTTCTGAATGTCCCCCCCTAGGACCCATATAGGGGTACAGGAGTTCTGAATGTCCCCCTAGGATCCATATAGGGGTACAGGAGTTCTGAATGTCCCCCCCCCCTCTAGGACCCATATAGGGGTACAGGAGTTCTGAATGTCCCCCTCTAGGACCCATATAGGGGTACAGGAGTCCTGAATGTCCCCCCCTAGGATCCATATAGGGGTACAGGAGTTCTGAATGTCCCCCTAGGATCCATATAGGGGTACAGGAGTTCTGAATGTCCCCCCCCCTCTAGGACCCATATAGGGGTACAGGAGTTCTGAATGTCCCCCCCCCCTCTAGGACCCATATAGGGGTACAGGAGTTCTGAATGTCCCCCTAGGATCCATATAGGGGTACAGGAGTTCTGAATGTCCCCCCCCCCCTCTAGGACCCATATAGGGGTACAGGAGTTCTGAATGTCCCCCCCCCCCCAGGACCCATATAGGGGTACAGGAGTTCTGAATGTCCCCTCCTAGGACCCATATAGGGGTACAGGAGTTCTGAATGTCCCCCCCCACCCTAGGACCCATATAGGGGTACAGGAGTTCTGAATGTCCCCTCCTAGGACCCATATAGGGGTACAGGAGTTCTGAATGTCCCCCCCCCTCTAGGACCCATATAGGGGTACAGGAGTTCTGAATGTCCCCACCTAGGACCCATATAGGGGTACAGGAGTTCTGAATGTCCCCCCCTCTAGGACCCATATAGGGGTACAGGAGTTCTGAATGTCCCCACCTAGGACCCATATAGGGGTACAGGAGTTCTGAATGTCCCCCCCTCTAGGACCCATATAGGGGTACAGGAGTTCTGAATGTCCCCCCCCCACCCTAGGACCCATATAGGGGTACAGGAGTCCTGAATGTCCCCACCTAGGACCCATATAGGGGTACAGGAGTCCTGAATGTCCCCCTAGGACCCATATAGGGGTACAGGAGTTCTGAATGTCCCCCCCCTCTAGGACCCATATAGGGGTACAGGAGTTCTGAATGTCCCCCCCTAGGACCCATATAGGGGTACAGGAGTTCTGAATGTCCCCCCCCTCTAGGACCCATATAGGGGTACAGGAGTTCTGAATGTCCCCACCTAGGACCCATATAGGAGTACAGGAGTTCTGAATGTCCCCCCCCTAGGACCCATATAGGGGTACAGGAGTTCTGAATGTCCCCACCTAGGACCCATATAGGAGTACAGGAGTTCTGAATGTCCCGCCCCTCTAGGACCCATATAGGGGTACAGGAGTTCTGAATGTCCCCCTAGGACCCATATAGGAGTACAGGAGTTCTGAATGTCCCCCCCTCTATGACCCATATAGGGGTACAGGAGTTCTGAATGTCCCCCTAGGATCCATATAGGGGTACAGGAGTCCTGAATGTCCCCACCTAGGACCCATATAGGGGTACAGGAGTTCTGAATGTCCCCCCCCCCTCTAGGACCCATATAGGGGTACAGGAGTTCTGAATGTCCCCACCTAGGACCCATATAGGAGTACAGGAGTTCTGAATGTCCCCCCCCTCTAGGACCCATATAGGGGTACAGGAGTTCTGAATGTCCCCCCCCCTCTAGGACCCATATAGGGGTACAGGAGTTCTGGGAGGTGGGCCTGTTGCCTTTGGAGTCCAGAGTGGACCAACTTAAACTTGTATCATTTGTTTGACATCTTAAATGATCGTGCCCCAGGTTATATGAAACACCACGTTGATATGGTCTATAACCAACACTATAATATAATATAATATGCCATTTAGCAGACGATTTTATCCAAAGCGACTTAAAGTCATGCGTGCATAAATTTTTGTGTTTGGGTGGTCCCGGGGATCGAACCCACTAACACTGTTACAATAGCAGAGCTAGTGGTATGTCTTGTAAAATCCCAAGAGTAAACGGTACTGCGAGGAGTACGTTTTTCTATACAGGTATTTGTCTCTGGAATAGCCTCCCCTTGGAGATCAAGCAAAGGAAAAAGTAGAAATACCTTTAAAAAGCAGGTAAAAGGTTTTCATTTGGACAAGGTTGTGTAAGTAAGAGAAACCTCTCCACTGCCCCTTGCGCCCCCTACTGCTGGTCAGGTGTATTTATTTGAACGATAGGTAGGATGTGCAATGAATGAATAGATAGTTTTTTTTAAGGTTGAAATGTGAAATTAATATGGTTGATTTTTAAGGTTAGGGAAAAGTGCAGTGAATAGTTCCACTTTTTAGGACGTCAATATAAATGAATGTATTTCTGATTGTTTGTCATTTTGTCTGGCCTTTTTAATCATTATGTGTTATTGTTTTAGCATCGAGGACCACTTTGGAAACAAGCGTTTTAATTAATACTTTCAAGTGATATCCTCTGGGTCCACATTGTTCATTCTGTTGTATATGTCTGTTACCCAGAATAAATTCCATCCAATCCCTCCCTGTGTAGACTGTAGCAGACGTCCCTGTTTCTGTTAGGAGATGTATTCATTAGGCTCCGATCTCTGTCTCTCTGTGTAGACTGTAGCAGACATTAACCAATGACGGGGATGATTTCCAAGCTGAGCCACAGCCTGAGGAGCGCTGCCCCGGCCCTGACCAGAGCTGTCCACTCCGGGACGCGTCCTGCCTCTACCGCCGCCTCCAAACTGAAGACCGACCAACCCCTCACCGCTGAGGAGGTGTACGCCAGAGAGGAGAAATATGGAGCCCACAACTACCACCCGCTTCCTGTGGCGCTGGAGAAGGGAAAGGGTGAGTGACCCACAGAGATAAAACCAGCTAGAACAGTAGCTGGCAGACTAGTGTCCTGTCTACTCTGCATCAAGACTAGTGTCCTGTCTACTGTACATCAAGACTAGTGTCCTGTCTACTGTACATCAAGACTAGTGTCCTGTCTACTGGACATCAAGACTAGTGTCCTGTCTACTGGACGTCAAGACTAGTGTCCTGTCTACTGTACGTCAAGACTAGTGTCCTGTCTACTGTACATCAAGACTAGTGTCCTGTCTACTGTACATCAAGACTAGTGTCCTGTCTACTGTACGTCAAGACTAGTGTCCTGTCTACTGTACGTCAAGACTAGTGTCCTGTCTACTGTACGTCAAGACTAGTGTCCTGTCTACTGTACGTCAAGACTAGTGTCCTGTCTACTGTACGTCAAGACTAGTGTCCTGTCTACTGTACGTCAAGACTAGTGTCCTGTCTACTGTACATCAAGACTAGTGTCCTGTCTACTGTACATCCAGACTAGTGTCCTGTCTACTGTACATCAAGACTAGTGTCCTGTCTACTGTACGTCAAGACTAGTGTCCTGTCTACTGTACATCAAGACTAGTGTCCTGTCTACTGTACATCAAGACTAGTGTCCTGTCTACTGTACATCAAGACTAGTGTCCTGTCTACTGTACGTCAAGACTAGTGTCCTGTCTACTGTACATCAAGACTAGTGTCCTGTCTACTGTACATCAAGACTAGTGTCCTGTCTACTGTACGTCAAGACTAGTGTCCTGTCTACTGGACGTCAAGACTAGTGTCCTGTCTACTGTACATCAAGACTAGTGTCCTGTCTACTGTACATCAAGACTAGTGTCCTGTCTACTGTACATCAAGACTAGTGTCCTGTCTACTGTCCATCAAGACTAGTGTCCTGTCTACTGGACATCAAGACTAGTGTCCTGTCTACTGTACGTCAAGACTAGTGTCCCTGTCTACTGTACGTCAAGGACTAGTGTCCTGTCTACTGTACATCAAGACTAGTGTCCTGTCTACTGTAACGTCAAGACTAGTGTCCTGTCTACTGTACGTCAAGACTAGTGTCCTGTCTACTGTACATCAAGACTAGTGTCCTGTCTACTGTACGTCAAGACTAGTGTCCTGTCTACTGTACGTCAAGACTAGTGTCCTGTCTACTGTACGTCAAGACTAGTGTCCTGTCTACTGCACGTCAAGACTAGTGTCCTGTCTACTGCACGTCAAGACTAGTGTCCTGTCTACTGTACGTCAAGGACTAGTATCCTGTCTAACTGTACGTCAAGACTAGTGTCCCTGTCTACTGTACGTCAAGACTAGTGTCCTGTCACTGTACGTCAAGACTAGTGTCCTGTCTACTGTACGTCAAGACTAGTGTCCTGTCTACTGTACGTCAAGACTAGTGTCCTGTCACTGTACGTCAAGACTAGTGTCCTGTCTACTGTACGTCAAGACTAGTGTCCCTGTCTACTGTACGTCAAGACTAGTGTCCTGTCTACTGTAGCGTCAAGACTAGTGTCCTGTCTACTGTACGTCAAGACTAGTGTCCTGTCGACTGTACGTTAAAGACTAGTGTCCTGTCTACTGTACGTCAAGACTAGTGTCCTGTCTACTGTACGTCAAGACTAGTGTCCTGTCTACTGTACGTCCAGACTAGTGTCCTGTCTACTGTACATCAAGACTAGTGTCCTGCTACTGTACGTCAAGACTAGTGTCCTGTCTACTGTAACGTCAAGACTAGTGTCCTGTCTACTGTCCGTCAAGACTAGTGTCCTGTCTAACTGTACCGCAAGACTAGTGTCCTGTCTACGTGTACGTCAAGACTAGTGTCCTGTCTACTGTACGTCAAGACTAGTGTCCTGTCTACTGTACGTCAAGACTAGTGTCCTGTCTACTGTACGTCAAGACTAGTGTCCTGTCTACTGTACGTCAAGACTAGTGTCCTGTCTACTGTACATCAAGACTAGTGTCCTGTCTACTGTACATCAAGACTAGTGTCCTGTCTACTGTACGTCAAGACTAGTGTCCTGTCTACTGTGCGTCAAGACTAGTGTCCTGTCTACTGTGCGTCAAGACTAGTGTCCTGTCTACTGGACATCAAGACTAGTGTCCTGTCTACTGGACGTCAAGACTAGTGTCCTGTCTACTGTACGTCAAGACTAGTGTCCTGTCTACTGTACGTCAAGACTAGTGTCCTGTCTACTGTACATCAAGACTAGTGTCCTGTCTACTGTACATCAAGACTAGTGTCCTGTCTACTGTACGTCAAGACTAGTGTCCTGTCTACTGTACATCCTGTCTACTGTACGTCAAGACTAGTGTCCTGTCTACTGTACGTCAAGACTAGTGTCCTGTCTACTGTACATCAAGACTAGTGTCCTGTCTACTGTACATCCAGACTAGTGTCCTGTCTACTGTACATCAAGACTAGTGTCCTGTCTACTGTACATCCAGACTAGTGTCCTGTCTACTGTACATCAAGACTAGTGTCCTGTCTACTGTACATCCAGACTAGTGTCCTGTCTACTGTACGTCAAGACTAGTGTCCTGTCTACTGTACGTCAAGACTAGTGTCCTGTCTACTGTACGTCAAGACTAGTGTCCTGTCTACTGTACGTCAAGACTAGTGTCCTGTCTACTGTACATCAAGACTAGTGTCCTGTCTACTGTACATCAAGACTAGTGTCCTGTCTACTGTACATCAAGACTAGTGTCCTGTCTACTGTACGTCAAGACTAGTGTCCTGTCTACTGTACGTCAAGACTAGTGTCCTGTCTACTGTACATCAAGACTAGTGTCCTGTCTACTGTACGTCAAGACTAGTGTCCTGTCTACTGTACGTCAAGACTAGTGTCCTGTCTACTGTACGTCAAGACTAGTGTCCTGTCTACTGTACATCAAGACTAGTGTCCTGTCTACTGTACATCAAGACTAGTGTCCTGTCTACTGTACATCAAGACTAGTGTCCTGTCTACTGTGCGTCAAGACTAGTGTCCTGTCTACTGTACGTCAAGACTAGTGTCCTGTCTACTGTACATCAAGACTAGTGTCCTGTCTACTGTACATCAAGACTAGTGTCCTGTCTACTGTACGTCAAGACTAGTGTCCTGTCTACTGTACGTCAAGACTAGTGTCCTGTCTACTGTACATCAAGACTAGTGTCCTGTCTACTGTACATCAAGACTAGTGTCCTGTCTACTGTACGTCAAGACTAGTGTCCTGTCTACTGTACGTCAAGACTAGTGTCCTGTCTACTGTACATCAAGACTAGTGTCCTGGCTACTGTGCGTCAAGACTAGTGTCCTGTCTAATGTACATCAAGACTAGTGTCCTGTCTACTGTACGTCAAGACTAGTGTCCTGTCTACTGTACATCAAGACTAGTGTCCTGTCTACTGTACATCAAGACTAGTGTCCTGTCTACTGTACGTCAAGACTAGTGTCCTGTCTACTGGACGTCAAGACTAGTGTCCTGTCTACTGTACATCAAGACTAGTGTCCTGTCTACTGTACATCAAGACTAGTGTCCTGTCTACTGTACATCAAGACTAGTGTCCTGTCTACTGTCCATCAAGACTAGTGTCCTGTCTACTGGACATCAAGACTAGTGTCCTGTCTACTGTACGTCAAGACTAGTGTCCTGTCTACTGTACGTCAAGACTAGTGTCCTGTCTACTGTACATCAAGACTAGTGTCCTGTCTACTGTACGTCAAGACTAGTGTCCTGTCTACTGTACGTCAAGACTAGTGTCCTGTCTACTGTACGTCAAGACTAGTATCCTGTCTACTGTACGTCAAGACTAGTGTCCTGTCTACGGTACGTCAAGACTAGTGTCCTGTCTACTGTACGTCAAGACTAGTGTCCTGTCTACTGTACGTCAAGAACTAGTGTCCTGTCTACTGTACGTCAAGACTAGTGTCCTGTCTACTGTAACGTCAAGAACTAGTGTCCTGTCTACTGTACGTCAAGACTAGTGTCCTGTCTACTGTACGTCAAGACTAGTGTCCTGTCTACTGTACGTCAAGATAGTGTCCTTCTACTGTACGTCAAGACTAGTGTCCCTGTCTACTGTACGTCAAGACTAGTGTCCTGTCTACTGTACGTCAGACTAGTGTCCTGTCTACTGTACGTTAGACTAGTGTCCTGTCTACTGTACGTCAAGACTAGTGTCCTGTCTACTGTACGTCAAAGACTAGTGTCCTGTCTACTGTACGTCAAGACTAGTGTCCTGTCTACTGTACATCAAGACTAGGTCTGTCTACTGTCATCAAGACTAGTGTCCTGTCTACTGTCGTCAAAACTAGTGTCCTGTCTACTGTCGCGTCAGACTAGTGTCCTGTCTACTGTCCGTCAAGACTAGTGTCCTGTCTACTGTACGTCAAGACTAGTGTCCTGTCTACTGTACGTCAAGACTAGTGTCCTGTCTACTGTACGTCACAGACTAGTGTCCTGTCTACTGTACGTCAAGACTAGTGTCCTGTCTACGTGTACGTCAAGACTAGTGTCCTGTCTAACTGTACGTCAAGACTAGTGTCCTGTCTACTGTCATCAAGACTAGTGTCCTGTCTACTGTACATCAAGACTAGTGTCCTGTCTACTGTAGTCAAGACTAGTGTCCTGTCTACTGTGCGTCAAGACTAGTGTCCTGTCTACTGTGCGTCAAGACTAGTGTCCTGTCTACTGTACGTCAAGACTAGTGTCCTGTCTACTGGACATCAAGACTAGTGTCCTGTCTACTGGACGTCAAGACTAGTGTCCTGTCTACTGTACGTCAAGACTAGTGTCCTGTCTACTGTAGTCAAGACTAGTGTCCTGTCTACTGTACATCAAGACTAGTGTCCTGTCTACTGTACATCAAGACTAGTGTCCTGTCTACTGTACGTCAAGACTAGTGTCTGTCTACTGTACTACATCTGTCTACTGTACGTTCAGACTAGTGTCCTGTCTACTGTACGTCAAGACTAGTGTCCTGTCTACTGTACATCAAGACTAGTGTCCTGTCTACTGTACATCCAGACTAGTGTCCTGTCTACTGTCATCAAGACTAGTGTCCTGTCTACTGTACATCCAGACTAGTGTCCTGTCTACTGTACATCAAGACTAGTGTCCTGTCTACTGTACATCCGACTAGTGTCCTGTCTACTGTACGTCAAGACTAGTTGCCTGTCTACTGTACGTCAAGACTAGTGTCTGTTCTACTGTACGTCAAGACTAGTGTCCTGTCTACTTGTACGTCAAGACTTAGTGTCCTGTCTACTGTACATCAAGGACTAGTGTCCCTGTCCTACTGTACATCAAGACTAGTGTCCTGTCTACTGTACATCAAGACTAGTGTCCTGTCTACTGTACGTCAGACTAGTTGTCCTGTCTACTGTAACGTCAAGACTAGTGTCCTGTCTACTGTACATCAAGACTAGTGTCCTGTCTACTGTAACGTCAAGACTAGTGTCCTGTCTACTGTACGTCAAGACTAGTGTCCTGTCTACTGTAATACGTCAAGACTAGTGTCCTGTCTACTGTAACATCAAGACTAGTGTCCTGTCTACTGTACATCAAGACTAGTGTCCTGTCTACTGTACAAGACTAGTGTCCTGTCTACTGTGCGTCAAGACTAGGTGTCCTGTCTACTGTACAGTCAAGACTAGTGTCCTGTCTACTGTACATCAAGACTAGTGTCCTGTCTATGTACATCAAGACTAGTGTCCTGTTACTGTACGTCAAGACTAGTGCCTGTCTACTGTACGTCAAGACTAGTGTCCTGTCTACTGTACATCAGACTAGTGTCCTGTTACTGTACATCAAGACTAGTGTCCGTCTACTGTACGTCAAGACTAGTGTCCTGTCTACTGTACGTCAAGACTAGTGCCTGTCTACTGTACATCAAGGACCTAGTGTCTGGCGCTGTGCGTCAAGACTAGTGTCCTGTCTACGTACGTCAAGACTAGGTCCTGTCTACTGTAATCAAGACTAGTGTCCTGTCTACTGTACATCAAGACTAGTGTCCTGTCTACTGTAACTCAAGACTAGTGTCCTGTCTACTGTACGTCAAGACTAGTGTCCTGTCTACTGTACATCAAGACTGTGTCCTGTCTACTGTACGTCCAAGACTAGTGTCCTGTCTACTGTACATCAAGACTAGTGTCCTGTCTACTGTACATCAAGACTAGTGTCCGTCTACTGTACGTCAAGATAGTGTCCTGTCTACTGTGACGTCAGACTATGTTCCTGTTACTGTACATCAAGTTGCATCACGCTACAACAGAGATAGGTCCTCCCCATGGCCGTTCTGGGGACATGGCTTGGTTCCAGTGGCTGTTCCAAACCCCCTCTGCTCTGTGTCCTTTCTCTCGCAGTAGCTGTTCCAAACCCCTTGTCTGTCCTCTGTATCTCCAGTGGCTAAGTTTCAAACCCTCATGCTGTGTCTCTTCTCTCAGTGCGCTGTTCCAACCCCCTTGACTGTGTCCTCTTCTCCAGTTGTCCAAACCCCTCTGTCTGTCCTCTTTCTCCAGGGCTGTTCCAAACCCCCTGCTCTGGTCCTCTGCTCCAGTGGCTGTTCCAAACCCCTTGCTCTGTGTCCTTCTTCCGTGGCTGTTCCAAACCCCCTCTGCTCTGTGTCCTCTTCTCTCCAGTGGCTGTTCCAAACCCCCTCTGCTCTGTGTCCTCTTCTCTCCAGTGGCTGTTCCAAACCCCCTCTGCTCTGTGTCCTCTTCTCTCCAGTGGCTGTTCCAAACCCCCTCTGCTCTGTGTCCTCTCCTCTCCAGGTCTGTATGTGTGGGACGTGGAGGGAAACAGATACTATGACTTCCTGAGTGCCTACAGTGCAGTGAACCAGGGCCACTGCCACCCTAAGATCATCACTGCTCTGAACGCCCAGGCCTCCAAGCTCACCCTGACCTCCAGGGCCTTCTACCACGACGTCCTGGGGGCTCGAGTACTCACCACCCGTGGTTGGATTACGACAAACTACCCCTCATGAACAGTTAGGATGTCTATATGTACTGCCTGAACACAGGTAGCGGTCTGATATGTACGCCCATGACACAGGTTGCAGGTCTGTATTACTGCCCATGAACAAGGTTAGCAGGTCTGATATGTACTGCCCATGAACACAGGTTAGCAGGTCTGATATGTACTGCCCATGAACACAGGTTAGCAGGTCTGATATGTACTGCCCATGGACACAGGTTAGGAGGTCTGATATGTACTGCCCATGAACACAGGTTAGGAGGTCTGATAGTACTGCCCATGAACACAGGTTAGGCAGGTCTGAGAAGTACTGCCCATGAACACAGGTTAGCAGGTCTGATATGTACTGCCCATGAACACAGGTTAGGAGGTCTGATAAGTACTGCCCATGAACACAGGTTAGCAGGTCTGATAATGTACTGCCCATGAACACAGGTTAGCAGGTCTGATATGTACTGCCCATGAACACAGGTTAGAGGTCTGATATGTACTGCCCATGGACACAGGTTAGCAGGTCTGATATGTACTGCCCTTACAGGTTAGCAGGTCTGATATGTACTGCCCACCTAGGCCTTAGCAGTTCTCTAGGTACTGCCCATGAACAGGTAGCAGGCTGATAGTTTACTGCCCATGAGCACAGGTGCAGGCGGGCTGATATGTACTGCCCATGAACACGGTTAGCAGGTCTGATAGTAACTAGCCATGCAACAACAGGTTGGAGGTTCTGATAGTACTGCCATGAACACAGGTTAGCAGGTCTGATATGTACTGCCCATGGACACAGGTTTAGCGGGTCTGATAAGTACTGCCCATGAACACAGGTTTGGAGGTCTGATAAGTACTGCCAATGAACACAATTTACCCAGGTCTGATATGTACTGCCCATGAACACAGGTTAGCCGGTCTGATATGTGGCCATCTGGTGTTCAGGACCAGTTGCATGGCATAGCATGATTTATAGTACGTCCTGAGAACAACATGTCTCCCCTTGACAAGGTGTGGAAGGGTGGAGAGACTGCTCACTAGCTGTCTGACATGGATGTCTTCTGTCACGGTCCGTGGCAACACAACATATTGAATTCTAAGTGTAGTGACATACTAATGTTCTCTCCCAGGTGTGGAGGGAGGAGAGACGGCCTGTAAGCTAGCCCGTAAGTGGGCCTACACTGTGAAGGGCGTGCCCAAGAACCAGGCAAAAATCATCTTTGCAAGTAAGTCAATACACAGCAACTTTTGGTTTCCCATCATGTCCTGAGATGCAGGATGTTTGGCCCTGTCTAACCTACCTGTGCGTTCCTGAAATACACAATACCAATCATTGTTTTACGGTGGTGCCATAGGGCTTTAACCCCGCCACGGCTGCTTGCAGCTATATTTGTTACCATGTTATTGAATGCCATTTCCGTGTGTTCATTTAGTTGATTCACATGGCGCAGAATGCGATTTGAACTGTGAATTGTGTGGTGAATAACATTAAAAGAAGGATGCTAATGTAGTGTGTCTTCCCTCTCCTCTGTAGATGGTAACTTCTGGGGCCGGACCATGGCAGCCATCTCCAGCTCTACGGACCCTAGCAGTTACGAGGGCTTCGGGCCCTTCATGCCCGGCTTTGGGCTCGTCCCCTACAACGACATCCCTGCTCTGGAGGTACGAGGCTGACGTGACATGCATCATATATAATACTGAACCTTAATGTTAATGTTACTACTATACAGGCCAGTTTCCTGTTCCTCTATAATACTGAACCTTAATGTTACTACTATACAGGCCAGTTTCCTGTTCCTCTATAATACTGAACCTTAATGTTACTACTATACAGGCCAGTTTCCTGTTCCTCTATAATACTGAACCTTAATGTTACTACTCTACAGGCCAGTTTCCTGTGCCTCTATAATACTGAACCTTAATGTTAATGTTACTACTATACAGGCCAGTTTCCTGTTCCTCTATAATACTGAACCTTAATGTTAATGTTACTACTATACAGGCCAGTTTCCTGTGCCCTCTATAATACTGAACCTTAATATTAATATTACTACTATACGGCCAGTTTCCTGTTCCTCTATAATACTGAACCTTAATGTTACTACTATACAGGCCAGTTTCCTGTTCCTCTATAATACTGAACCTTAATGTTACTACTCTACAGGCCAGTTTCCTGTTCCTCTATAATACTGAACCTTAATATTAATGTTACTACTATACAGGCCAGTTTCCGTTCCTCATAATATAAACCCTTTAAATGTTAATGTTACTACTCTACAGGCCAGTTTCTGGTCCCTCTATAATACTGAACCTAATTTAATGTTACTACATACAGGCCAGTTCCTTTTCCTCTTTTAATACTAAACCTTAATGTTACTACTATACAGGCCAGTTTCCTTTTTCCTCTAAAATATGAACCTTAATTAATGTTACTACAAAACAGGCCAGTTTTCCTGTTCCTCTATAATACTGAACCTTAATTTTAATTGTTACTGACTCTTGACAGGCCAGTTTTCCTGGCTGCCTCTATAATACTGAACCTTAATATTAATGTTACTACTATACAGGCCTGTTTCCTGGTTCCTCTATTTTTGAAATTACTGAACCTTATTGTTACTACTATTACAGGCCAGGTTCCTGTTCCCTCTATAATACTGAACCCTTAATGTAATGTTACTACTATACAGGCCAGTTTCCTGTTCCTCTTATAATACTGAACCTTAATGGTTAACTACTATACAGGAACAGTGGCCTTTTCCTGTGCCTCTATATATTTACTGAACCTTAATCTTAATGTTACTACTATAACAGGCCCGTTTCCTGTTCCTTCTATAATAGCTGAACCTTAATGTTAATGTTTACTATCTAACAGGCCAGTTTCCTGTTTCCTCTATAATACTGAACCTTAATATTAATGTTTACTACTATTACAGGCCAGTTTCCTGTCCTCTATAATACTGAAACCTTAATTGTTACTACTATACAAGGCAGTTTCCTGTCGTTCTATAATACTGAACCTTAATATTAATGTTACTACTATACAGGCCATTTTTCCTGTTCCCCCTATAATACTAAACCTTAATATTAATGTTACTACTATACAGGCCAGTTTCCTGTTCCTCTATAATACTGAACCTTAATGTTACTACTATACAGGCCAGTTTCCTGTCCCTATAATACTGAACCTTAATATTAATGTTACTACTATACAGGCCAGTTTCCTGTTCCTCTATAATACTGCCCTTTATTTTAATGTTACTACTATACAGGCCAGTTTCCTGTTCCTCTATAATACTGAACCTTAATATTAATGTTACTACTATACAGGCCAGTTTCCTGTTTCTCTATAATACTGAACCTTAATGTTAATGTTACTACTCTACAGGCCAGTTTCCTGTTCCTCTATAATACTGAACCTTAATGTTACTACTATACAGGCCAGTTTCCTGTTCCTCTATAATACTGAACCTTAATGTTACTACTAATACAGGCCAGTTTTCCTGTTCTCTATAATACTGAACCTTAATGTTACTACTATACAGGCCAGTTTCCTGTTCCTCTATAATACTGAACCTTAATATTAATGTTACTACTATACAGGCCAGTTTCCTGTCCTCTATAATACTGAACCTTAATATTAATGTTACTACTATACAGGCCAGTTTCCTGTTCCTCTATAATACTGAACCTTAATGTTAATTACTACTATACAGGCCAGTTTCCTGTCCTCTATAATACTGAACCTTAATGTTATGTTACTACTATACAGGCCAGTTTCCTGTTCCTCTATAATACTGAACCTTAATATTAATGTTACTACTATACAGGCCAGTTTCCTGTTCCTCTATAATACTGAACCTTAATATTAATGTTACTACTATACAGGCCAGTTTCCTGTTCCTCTATAATACTGAACCTTAATATTACTACTATACAGGCCAGTTTCCTGTTCCTCTATAATACTGAACCTTAATGTTACTACTATACAGGCCAGTTTCCTGTTCCTCTATAATACTGAACCTTAATATTAATGTTGACTACTATACAGGCCAGTTTCCTGTTCCCTATAATACTGAACCTTAAATTAAGGTAATACATACAGGCAGTTTCCTGTTCCTCTATAATACTTTGAACCTTAATATTACTACTATTACGGCCAGTTTCCTGTTCCTTCTATAATATCTGAACATTAATGTTATTAATATACAGGCCAGTTTCCTGTGCCTCTATAATTACTGAACTTATGTTAATGTTATTTACTATACAGGCCAGTTTCCTGTTCCTCTATAATACTGAACCTTAATATTAATGTTACTACTATACAGGCCAGTTTCCTGGAGCCAGATAAGGCCTAGTCCTGTTCTAAAATATCCTTCAATGAAGAATCTCCATTGAGAAGGCTTTTTTGGTCTGGGAAATTCGGCCTTGCTTCCATATTGTGTCAGTATACAGAGGCAAATGGAGTGTCTCCAGCCCTGTATTTCCATTGATGGGATTATCATGGAAACACGGATTGATTGACTAGTCTAGTTACCTGTTATCACTGACTGTGTGCTGATGGTTGTTCCAGAAAGCTCTCCGGGACCCTAATGTAGCAGCCTTCATGGTGGAGCCAATCCAGGGAGAGGCTGGCGTGGTGGTTCCTGATCCTGGATACCTCACCACCGTCAGAGAGCTCTGCACTCAGAACAACGTGAGTAGTGCAAGACGTCTCCGCATTAAACACAAACGCACATCGTACTGCGAGCCTTCAGAATCAACGGTGGATCTTCGTCATTGGAAACAGACATTTTCCCCCCACTTTTGGTTGATTGCTCTATCAGTCCATTTTGGTGAGATGGACAAATATACTGATGTGACCTTTTCCTTGTAACTGTGCTTCCCTGTGCTTGGGTCTAGATACCAGGTTATTGTAAATCACTTTGTGGCAACTGTTGAAGTAAAATCGACTTTATAAATGAAATGTGATTTTGATTTGATATCTCCTACTGCATGGTGTTGTTCATAGCTGATGAGGTTCAGCCTGGGCTGGAGCTGGCTGTAGTGTGGAGAGACAGACTCATTCATAGACTACACTAATGTCTCTGTGTTCCATGTCTAGGTGCTGTTCATAGCTGATGAGGTTCAGACTGGACTGGCCCGTACAGGCAGACGGCTGGCTGGACTACACTAATGTCTCTGTGTTCCATGTCTAGGTGCTGTTCATAGCTGATGAGGTTCAGACTGGACTGGCCCGTACAGGCAGACGGCTGGCTGGACTACACTAATGTCTCTGTGTTCCATGTCTAGGTGCTGTTCATAGCTGATGAGGTTCAGACTGGACTGGCCCGTACAGGCAGACGGCTGGCTGGACTACACTAATGTCTCTGTGTTCCATGTCTAGGTGCTGTTCATAGCTGATGAGGTTCAGACTGGACTGGCCCGTACAGGCAGACGGCTGGCTGGACTACACTAATGTCTCTGTGTTCCATGTCTAGGTGCTGTTCATAGCTGATGAGGTTCAGACTGGACTGGCCCGTACAGGCAGACGGCTGGCTGGACTACACTAATGTCTCTGTGTTCCATGTCTAGGTGCTGTTCATAGCTGATGAGGTTCAGACTGGACTGGCCCGTACAGGCAGACGGCTGGCTGGACTACACTAATGTCTCTGTGTTCCATGTCTAGGTGCTGTTCATAGCTGATGAGGTTCAGACTGGACTGGCCCGTACAGGCAGACGTCTGGCTGTGGACCATGAGGAAGTTCGTCCTGACATCGTGATCCTGGGAAAGGCTCTGTCAGGAGGAGTCTACCCTGTGAGTAACACAACACTGTGACACTACTTTCTTTGCAATTTTGTACTGTAATTTGATTTACTAAATGAAAATGCTGTCTAATAATTTTATAAGGGATGGGTTGCATCAATACATGAATATTAATTGTTTAATTCACTTCCTTCTGTGGCTAACTCACTGCTTATTCAGCATTTTCTGACTGTTGTGACTGGGTCATGGTGTGACTGGGTCATGGTGTGTCTGGGTCATGGTGTGTCTGGGTCATGGTGTGACTGGGTTATGGTGTGTCTGGGTCATGGTGTGTCTGGGTCATGGTGTGACTGGGTTATGGTGTGACTGGGTCATGGTGTGTCTGGGTCATGGTGTGACTGGGTCATGGTGTGTCTGGGTTATGGTGTGTCTGGGTCATGGTGTGTCTGGGTCATGGTGTGACTGGGTTTTGTTGTGACTGGGTCATGTTGTGACTGGGTCATGGTGTGTCTGGGTCATGTTGTGACTGGGTTATGGTGTGACTGGGTTATGGTGTGACTGGGTCATGGTGTGACTGGGTCATGGTGTGACTGGGTCATGGTCTGACTGGGTCATGGTGTGACTGGGTCATGGTGTGACTGGGTCATGGTGTGACTGGGTTTTGTTGTGACTGGGTTTTGTTGTGACTGGGTCATGTTGTGACTGGGTCATGGTGTGACTGGGTCATGGTGTGACTGTTGTGACTGGGTCATGTTGTGACTGGGTCATGGTGTGACTGGGTCATGGTGTGTCTGGGTCATGGTGTGACTGGGTCATGGTTTGACTGGGTCATGGTGTGACTGGGTCATGGTGTGACTGGGTCATGGTGTGACTGGGTCATGTTGTGACTGGGTCTTGTTGTGACTGGGTTTTGTTGTGACTGGGTTTTGTTGTGACTGGGTCATGGTGTGACTGGGTCTTGTTGTGACTGGGTCATGGTGTGACTGGGTCATGGTGTGACTGGGTCATGGTGTGACTGGGTCATGGTGTGACTGGGTCATGGTGTGACTGGGTCATGGTGTGTCTGGGTCATGGTGTGTCTGGGTCATGGTGTGACTGGGTCATGGTGTGACTGGGTCATGGTGTGTCTGGGTCATGGTGTGTCTGGGTCATGGTGTGACTGGGTCATGGTGTGACTGGGTCATGGTGTGACTGGGTCATGGTGTGTCTGGGTCATGGTGTGTCTGGGTCATGGTGTGACTGGGTCATGGTGTGACTGGGTCATGGTGTGACTGGGTCATGTTGTGACTGGGTCATGTTGTGACTGGGTCATGGTGTAACTGGGTCATGGTGTGACTGGGTCCATGGTGTGACTGGGTCCATGGTGTGACTGGGTCCATGGTGTGACTGGGTCATGGTGTGACTGGGTCATGGTGTGACTGGGTCATGGTGTGACTGGGTCATGGTGTGACTGTTGTGACTGGGTCATGGTGTGACTGGGTCATGGTGTGACTGGGTCATGGTGTGACTGGGGTCATGTCAGTCTCCTATAAATGTGAACCTTGACCCTGCCAGGTGTCTGCGGTGCTGTGTGATGACGAGGTGATGCTGACCATCAAGCCTGGAGAGCACGGCTCTACGTACGGAGGAAACCCTCTGGCCTGTAGCGTTGCCATGGCAGCTCTAGAGGTATGTGGTAGCTAGCTTTATTTATTAATGTTAGCTAGTTAGTTATTTGGCTATGGAGAGATTCAAACATTAGGAGAGATGGAGACCCGCACACTTGAAAATGTGGACAAATCCAAAACGGAGGTATAGATTCAAACATTGACCCGTTGAAGAAACAACAGTCCCACTTTAACTTTGGATGGGCTGGGTGTCTTGGATCATCCTAGTAGCCGTCAGCCCATGCAGTCATGTACACTACATGGCCAAAAGTATGTGGACACTCCTTCAAATTAGTGGGTTCGGCTATTTCAGTCACACCCGTTGCTGACAGGTGTATAAAATCGAGCACGCAGCCCATGTAATTTCCATTGACAAGTATTGGCAGTAGAATTGCCTTACTGAAGTGCTCAATGACTTTCAATGTGGCACCGTCATATTGGACAAGTTAGTTCTTCAAATTTCTGCCCTGCTAGAGCTGCCCCGGTCAACTAAGTGCTGTTATTGTGAAGTGGAAACGTCTAAGAGCAACAACGGCTCAGCCGCAAAGTGGTAGGCCACACAAGCTCACAGAACCGGATGGCCGAGTGCTGAAGCGCTTAGCGTGTAAAAATCGTCTGTCCTCGGTTGCAACACTCTGAGTTCCAAATTGCCTCTGGAAGCAACGTCAGCACAAGCACTGTTCGTCGGGAGCTTCATGAAATGGATTTCCATAGCCGAGCAGCCGCACACAAGCCAAAGATCACCATGTACCATGCCAATCACGCTTCACCATCTGGCAGTCCGACAGACGAATCTGGGTTTGGTGATGCCAGGAGAACACTACCTGCTCCAATGCATAGTGCCAACTGTAAAGTTTGGTGGAGGATGAATAATGGTCTGGGACTGTTTTTCATGGTTCGGGCTAGGCCCTTTAGTTCCAGTGAACGGAAATCTTCTACAGCATACAATGACATTCTAGACGATTCTGTGCTTTGGGGTAACAGTTTGGGGAAGGCCCTTTCCTGTTTCAGCATGACAATGCCCCCATGCACAAAGCGAGGTCCATACAGAAATGGTTTGTTGAGATCGGTGTGGAAGAACATGACTGGCCTGCACAGAGCCCTGACCTCAACCCCATCGAACAAGTTTGGGTTGAATTGGAACACCGACTGCGAGCCAGGCCTAATCGCCCAACATCAGTGCCTGACCTCACTAATGCTTGTGGCTGAATGGAAGCCAGTCCCTGCAGCAATGTTCCAACATCTAGTGGAAAGCCTTCCCAGAAGAGTGGATGCTGTTATAGCAGCAAAGGGGAGACCAACTCCATATTAATGACCATGATTTTGGAATGATATGTTTGACGAGCATATAGTGGCCATCTGGCTAGCTGGTTTAGTAAGACAGGATACTCCCCAGAGCAACAGACAGCTGAGAGTACTGTATCTGGCTAGCTGGTTTAGTAAGACAGGATACTCCCCAGAGCAACAGACAGCTGAGAGTACTGTATCTGGCTAGCTGGTTTAGTAAGACAGGATACTCCCCAGAGCAACAGACAGCTGAGAGTACTGTATCTGGCTAGCTGGTTTAGTAAGACAGGATACTCCCCAGAGCAACAGACAGCTGAGAGTACTGTATCTGGCTAGCTGGTTTAGTAAGACAGGATACTCCCCAGAGCAACAGACAGCTGAGAGTACTGTATCTGGCTAGCTGGTTTAGTAAGACTGGATACTCCCCAGAGCAACAGACAGCTGAGAGTACTGTATCTGGCTAGCTGGTTTAGTAAGACAGGATACTCCCCAGAGCAACAGACAGCTGAGAGTACTGTATCTGGCTAGCTGGTTTAGTAAGACAGGATACTCCCCAGAGCAACAGACAGCTGAGAGTACTGTATCTGGCTAGCTGGTTTAGTAAGACAGGATACTCCCCAGAGCAACAGACAGCTGAGAGTACTGTATCTGGCTAGCTGGTTTAGTAAGACAGGATACTCCCCAGAGCAACAGACAGCTGAGAGTACTGTATCTGGCTAGCTGGTTTAGTAAGACAGGATACTCCCCAGAGCAACAGACAGCTGAGAGTACTGTATCTGGCTAGCTGGTTTAGTAAGACAGGATACTCCCCAGAGCAACAGACAGCTGAGAGTACTGTATCTGGCTAGCTGGTTTAGTAAGACTGGATACTCCCCAGAGCAACAGACAGCTGAGAGTACTGTATCTGGCTAGCTGGTTTAGTAAGACAGGATACTCCCCAGAGCAACAGACAGCTGAGAGTACTGTATCTGGCTAGCTGGTTTAGTAAGACTGGATACTCCCCAGAGCAACAGACAGCTGAGAGTACTGTATCTGGCTAGCTGGTTTAGTAAGACAGGATACTCCCCAGAGCAACAGACAGCTGAGAGTACTGTATCTGGCTAGCTGGTTTAGTAAGACAGGATACTCCCCAGAGCAACAGACAGCTGAGAGTACTGTATCTGGCTAGCTGGTTTAGTAAGACAGGATACTCCCCAGAGCAACAGACAGCTGAGAGTACTGTATCTGGCTAGCTGGTTTAGTAAGACAGGATACTCCCCAGAGCAACAGACAGCTGAGAGTACTGTATCTGGCTAGCTGGTTTAGTAAGACAGGATACTCCCCAGAGCAACAGACAGCTGAGAGTACTGTATCTGGCTAGCTGGTTTAGTAAGACAGGATACTCCCCAGAGCAACAGACAGCTGAGAGTACTGTATCTGGCTAGCTGGTTTAGTAAGACTGGATACTCCCCAGAGCAACAGACAGCTGAGAGTACTGTATCTGGCTAGCTGGTTTAGTAAGACTGGATACTCCCCAGAGCAACAGACAGCTGAGAGTACTGTATCTGGCTAGCTGGTTTAGTAAGACAGGATACTCCCCAGAGCAACAGGCAGCTGAGAGTACTGTATCTGGCTAGCTGGTTTAGTAAGACAGGATACTCCCCAGAGCAACAGACAGCTGAGAGTACTGTATCTGGCTAGCTGGTTTAGTAAGACAGGATACTCCCCAGAGCAACAGACAGTTGAGAGTACTTCAAAGCAGTGGGTGGGACCATCCTATCTCCTCTGACCACAGAACTTGGGCTCCTATCTCCTCCGAGTGATCGCTAACACGCCGCGGTCAACCGCTGCTTTCACGAGGTGATCTCTCATTAAACCCTCAATATGGACTAAGATTTACTGGTGTACACAACTAAATGTATAAAGGATATTTGCGGCTGCTCATGGTATTGTTTATTGTGTTGTGTGGACACTAGTTCACTGTGTTGGGTCATGGGTCGCTGGATATGTGTTAAACAAAGTCCTGACTGCAATAGAAGCCTTAAAACGGACTGCTCCTCACAACTGTTGGTCTTTGTGGTGTTTCCTCTAACAGTATGTTGTCCTGCCCTACAGGTTCTGGAGGAAGAGAAGCTTGCGGAGAACGCTGAGAAGATGGGTCAGTTGCTGAGGTCAGAACTGTCAAAGCTTCCTAAAGAGATCGTCCCCGTCGTCCGAGGCAAAGGCCTCCTCAATGCTATCGTCATCAAGGAGACTAAAGGTATGGATGTATCTGATGTGAAGCCAGTTAGCTGTGGTGTAGTCTCTCTTGAAAGACTTAACGAGAGTAGAGAGATGGCCCAGTTCTGGGTGCTGAGGTTAGTGACGGGGTACTAGTGACTGAGGCCATTGTTCCCATGAGTCTCTTGGTGCGTCAGCAAGCTCTGTCTTTGGCTGGCCGGTGGTGCTGTGTAGAAAAGCTCCCTGGTTTGAGCCCAGCTCGGGGGAAGACAGGGAAGGAAGCTATACTGTTCCACAGAGCCCCAGCTGTCCTGTTAGGGGAGTAGGTCAATACTGTCAGAATGTACGCTAGGCCATCAACGCACGTCACCTGACCAGGAAGAGATTCCTGTTTGCTTAGATGAACAATCAACATTGTCTTGTTGGCATAATGCGATGAAACATTTTACTGTGCGACCTGCAGTTTTAATTTGGGAGCGACAGAAAAAATCCTATGTACACTACATGACCAAAAGTCCAATATCTCATTCTAAAATCATGTGCATTGATATGGAGTTGGTCCCCCGATCTGTCTGGTGCTCCTAAATCTGATGTTGTGCTCCTCACTTTTTAAACCATGAAAATTGTTAATTTAGGGCCCTGCTTGTTGGCAGGGTTTTGCAATTGTTGCTCTATATCTCCCGAGTGGCGCAGTGGTCTAAGGCACTAGCTGTGCCACTAGAGATCCTGGTTCGAATCCAGGCTCTGTCGTAGCCGGCAGCGACCGGGAGACCCATGGGGCGGCGCACAATTGGCCCAGCGTCGTCCAGGGTAGGGGAGGGAATGGCCGTCAGGGATGTAGCTCAGTTGATAGAGCATGGTGTTTGCAACGCCAGGGTTGTGGGTTCGTTTCTCACGGGGGGTATAAAAAATAATGTATGCACTAACTGTAAGTCGCTCTGGATAAGAGCGTCTGCTAAATGACTAAAATGTAAAATGTCTGTAGGCTGAAGCTTTGACCCCTGACGTGTGTGTGTGTGTCTAACTTTTCTCCTTCGCCCCACAGACTATGACGCCTGGAGAGTCTGCATGCGTCTCCGTGACAACGGACTGTTGGCCAAGCCCACCCACGGTGACATCATCCGTCTGGCCCCTCCCCTCATCATTAAAGACCATGAGGTCAGAGAGTGTGTCGACATCATCCAGAGAACCATCATGTCCTTCTAGAACCACCTAGAATTGATTCTAGAACACTGGAACCAACATCGGAACAGCCTTCTAATCTAGCTGATCTGAAAAAAACAACTATCATCTGCTGTGAACTATCAACTATTGAAATGTGTTACTAACTCCTAAACATTTAGAAAATAAGTGTTATTGTATTGTAGCAGTACTCTCTTTTAAGTGCATTTACTATGAGAATGTATGTGGAGAATACTTCTAAGAGGTTTTTAACATTACTGCCATTTGTATTAATGGCAAGCTAAGGTCGTCCAACCTAAGAATGTTTTCTCTTTTGAAGTGCTGGGTTACACTGCTGCTCCGAAGCAACTTGGGGTGACATTCAACCCAGGGCTGTTTTTAACTCTTCCAACTGGTTAGTTGGAAGACGGTTCAGATACTGATTTTAATTTTGTTGTTAAATCTGGCAACTACTACTGCAGCAAAGTTAAAAACGTTTTAATGTGCTTAAACTTTTTTCACTTTCTAAAAAGGGAGCAGTGTTTTAAAAAAACAAACAAAGGAACATACAATTATTTAAATGTTAGTCATTTATTTGAACGTTACAGAGGTTTATGCTTGTCGGTGACATTAGCTTGAACCTTTTTGTTACTTAAAAGACACAGGTACAACCAAGAACGATATTTAAGTATTTAAAGGGGAATATTTTAATACCACTATAACTATAGCTGTTCTGTTACATTATTTAAACAAACCATAGAAAACTTTTTAAAACTGTAGCAGCACCCTGTGGGAGCTGGTCAACTACAGCACAGTGTAGGAAATAAGGTTCCATTTGAAATGCACCCAGTGTTTGTTGGAAACTTGCTAAAGAGAGAACATTTAAAACTGACTGTAAACTGCTGCAGGCTGAATATAATTTGGATTCTATTACTATATTTAAAGTTTGTTACATAAAATGTTCCTAACAATAAATAGCTGGAATCTTATTCTGATGTCCTGTCAATCATTTTTCATTCACTTTATCTACTTATGGCAATATGAAGATCTAGAAACATTGAGGTAGCAGGTTCCCCAGTCTACAGCGTGATTTGGTTCAAACCTCAGTCTTGTTTTACTCTGAGAAAATAACCATAGGAAACAGTTTAATTATTCCCTGCTAAATACACCCACATAATCATTAAGAGGACAATCTAAGGCTCTTTAAAAAAGACAAACTGGGCTATTACCAGGCAGTAATGTAATTACAGTGTTCAGTTGTGCATAAATCTAAATCAAGTTTATGAAATTGTTTACAAAACACTAAATATCAAGTGTTACCACTAGGTGGTGGTGTGTTCTCACTGTTCCATTGATGTGTTCCTATACTGTGGTCCTCACTAGTTACCGAAAAAACAAAGTCATTATGGCTAAACCCTGTCTATTTCTACAATTTTATTTTCTATAATCTGTTTTTAACCCTAACCACGCTGCTAACATTATGCTAAACCCTAACATTTTAAGCTTGAACCTTTTTAAGACCAAAAAGCTGTTTTAATGAATTTTAATGATATAGCCCATTTTGACTTTGTGGCTGTGATAACTAGTGACAACCCTGTACTGTATTTAGTTGATCAGAGCATTGTGTCAGAAATCCCAGACCTAGGGGAAAGGGCACTGCGTATGCTGGAACATTGTTAATGTGGGACACACCCTGTCTACCTAGGGAGACTAATCTGAAAACAGACTAAGTACACACATCACACAACATGATATGTCCCCATGACCCTGTTACAACCATTACTGTCTCCAACACTCCATCCCCTCTGACCCTGTTACAACCATTACTGTCTCCACACTCCATCCCCTCTGACCCTGATACAACCATTACTGTCTCCAACACTCCATCCCCTAATGCCCTGATACAACCATTACTGTCTCCAACACTCCATCCCCTCTGACCCTGTTACAACCATTACTGTCTCCACACTCCATCCCCTCTGACCCTGATACAACCATTACTGTCTCCAACACTCCATCCCCTAATGCCCTGATACAACCATTACTGTCTCCAACACTCCATCCCCTCTGACCCTGATACAACCATTACTGTCTCCAACACTCCATCCCCTCTGACCCTGATACAACCATTACTGTCTCCAACACTCCATCCCCTATGGCCCTGATACAACCATTACTGTCTCCAACACTCCATCCCCTCTGACCCTGATACAACCATTACTGTCTCCACACTCCATCCCCTCTGACCCTGATACAACCATTACTGTCTCCAACACTCCATCCCCTAATGCCCTGATACAACCATTACTGTCTCCAACACTCCATCCCCTCTGACCCTGATACAACCATTACTGTCTCCAACACTCCATCCCCTCTGACCCTGATACAACCATTACTGTCTCCAACACTCCATCCCCTCTGACCCTGATACAACCATTACTGTCTCCAACACTCCATCCCCTCTGACCCTACCCTGTTACAACCATTACTGTCTCCAACACTCCATCCCCTCTGACCCTGATACAACCATTACTGTCTCCAACACTCCATCCCTCTGACCCTGATACAACCATTACTGTCTCCAACACTCCATCCCCTCTGACCCTGATACAACCATTACTGTCTCCAACACTCCATCCCCTCTGGCCCTGATACAACCATTACTGTTCCAACACTCCATCCCCCTCTGACCCTGATACAACCATTACTGTCTCCAACACTCCATCCCCTCTGACCCTGTTACAACCATTACTGTCTCCAACACTCCATCCCCTAATGCCCTGTTACAACCATTACTGTCTCCAACACTCCATCCCCTCTGGCCCTGATACAACCATTACTGTCTCCAACACTCCATCCCCTCTGACCCTGATACAACCATTACTGTCTCCAACACTCCATCCCCTCTGGCCCTGATACAACCATTACTGTCTCCAACACTCCATCCCCTCTGACCCTAATACAACCATTACTGTCTCCAACACTCCATCCCCTCTGACCCTGTTACAACCATTACTGTCTCCAACACTCCATCCCCTAATGCCCTGTTACAACCATTACTGTCTCCAACACTCCATCCCCTCTGGCCCTGATACAACCATTACTGTCTCCAACACTCCATCCCCTCTGACCCTGTTACAACCATTACTGTCTCCAACACTCCATCCCCTCTGACCCTGTTACAACCATTACTGTCTCCAACACTCCATCCCCTAATGCCCTGATACAACCATTACTGTCTCCAACACTCCATCCCCTCTGACCCTGTTACAACCATTACTGTCTCCAACACTCCATCCCCTATGGCCCTGATACAACCATTACTGTCTCCAACACTCCATCCCCTCTGACCCTGTTACAACCATTACTGTCTCCAACACTCCATCCCCTCTGACCCTGTTACAACCATTACTGTCTCCAACACTCCATCCCCTCTGACCCTGTTACAACCATTACTGTCTCCAACACTCCATCCCCTCTGACCCTGATACAACCATTACTGTCTCCAACACTCCATCCCCTCTGACCCTGTTACAACCATTACTGTCTCCAACACTCCATCCCCTCTGACCCTGTTACAACCATTACTGTCTCCAACACTCCATCCCCTCTGACCCTGATACAACCATTACTGTCTCCAACACTCCATCCCCTCTGACCCTGATACAACCATTACTGTCTCCAACACTCCATCCCCTAATGCCCTGTTACAACCATTACTGTCTCCACACTCCATCCCCTCTGACCCTGTTACAACCATTACTGTCTCCACACTCCATCCCCTCTGACCCTGATACAACCATTACTGTCTCCAACACTCCATCCCCTAATGCCCTGATACAACCATTACTGTCTCCAACACTCCATCCCCTCTGACCCTGTTACAACCATTACTGTCTCCAACACTCCATCCCCTATGGCCCTGATACAACCATTACTGTCTCCAACACTCCATCCCCTCTGACCCTGTTACAACCATTACTGTCTCCAACACTCCATCCCCTCTGACCCTGTTACAACCATTACTGTCTCCAACACTCCATCCCCTCTGACCCTGTTACAACCATTACTGTCTCCAACACTCCATCCCCTCTGGCCCTGATACAACCATTACTGTCTCCAACACTCCATCCCCTATGGCCCTGATACAACCATTACTGTCTCCAACACTCCATCCCCTCTGACCCTGATACAACCATTACTGTCTGTTTTAGCACCATCAGGTGATTTCATTGCAGTTTAACCATCAGTACGGGCTCAGATCTACTGGTGTGAGGCACCACTATACCCCCCTATATAGGAGACATGTCTGCCTGCTGATGTCTGTTTTTTGTTTTATAATAATATAATAATATGCCATTTAGCAGACGCTTTTATCGAAAGCGACTTACAGTCATGCGTGCATACATTATTATTTTTTTGTGTATGGGTGGTCCCGGGGATCGAACCCACTACCTTGGCGTTACAAGCGCCGTGCTCTACCAGCTGAGCTACAGAGGACCACTAGAGTGGACCACTAGAGTGTACTGTATATTGGGTCATGGGTCCCTGGATTGGGGTTGACTTTTTGTAGACTTAATGTAGTTAGGTACAAAACATCCCCAAAACTATCAAAAGACACAGTGGCCTTGGAGGAATGGTGAAAGTGTCTCAGTTTAATGACATTGTTTCATCTGAGGATTAAAGACCAGTACAGTTGCAGCCAAATACACAGTAGACAAAACATTAAGAACACCTTCCTAATATTGAGTTGCCCCCCCCCCCCCCCCAGATCAGCCTTAATTCGTCGGGTCATGAACTCTACAAGGGGTCGAAAGCGTTCCACAGGGATGCTGGCTCATGTTGACTCCAATGCTTCCCACAGTTGTGTCAAGTTGGCTGGATGTCCTTTGGGTGGTGGACCATTCTTGATACACACGGGAAACTGTTGAGCGTGAAAAACCCAGCAGCGTTGCAGTTCTTGACACACTCAAACCGGTGCGCCTGGCACCTACTACCATACCCCGTTCAAAGGCACTTAAATCTTTTTTGCACCCTTGCACATTTCTTTAAATCCCCATTTAATCTAAGGTACATTGAAATTGAAAAATAACTTTTGATCTATACACCTTGCTATTGGATTTTTAGCTTTGCAGAACCAATATTTTTTGGGGGAAACTTTAAGTTTATGATTTAATTTAGAAAATAAAACAAATGTCATTGACCAAAGTATACAATATACCCCTATACACTCCCCTATATATACCCCTATACACTCCCCTATATATACCCCTATACACTCCCCTATATATACCCCTATACCCTCCCCTATATATACCCCTATACACTCCCCTATACCCTCCCCTATACCCTCCCCTATATATACCCCTATACACTCCCCTATATATACCCCTATACCCTCCCCTATATATACCCCTATACCCTCCCCTATATATACCCCTATACACTACCCTATATAAACCCCTATACACTCCCCTAATATACCCACTAACCCTCCCCTAAATAACCCCTATACCCTCCCCTATATATACCCCTATACACTCCCCTAATATATACCCCTATAACCCTCCCCTATACCCTCCCCTATACCTCCCCTATATATACCCCTATACACTCCCCTATATATACCCCATATAAACCCCCCATATATATACCCCAGACCCTCCCCTATATATACCCCTATACACTCCCCTATATATACCCCTATACCCTCCCCTATACCCTCCCCTATATATACCCCTATACACTACCCTATATATACCCCTATACACTCCCCTATACCCTCCCCTATATATACCCCTATACACTCCCCTATATATACCCCTATACACTCCCCTATATATACCCCTATACACTCCCCTATATATACCCCTATACACTCCCCTATATATACCCCTATACACTCCCCCAGGGACGGCTTGTTCAATAGGGCGATATGGGCGACGCACTGCCAAACGGGAAAAGGAAGGGATTTTTTTTCTAATCAATT